TACAAGAATGGAACAAAGTTCAAACTAAAGAATGCAATATTAAGATATAATAAAACAGGCAGGAGAAGTTATTATGTAAAGAACCAGAAGAGGAAGTTGAGGGAAATCGATGGTATATCATGCCTGTAAAAATGGCAAAAATGTATAGAACAGGCTCCAATAAATGTTGGAAGTGTAAAGAGAAGGAAGGCATGTTTTATCACATGTGGTGGAATTGTAACATAATTTTTAAAAATTGGGGGACTTCCGGTCTGTTGCGGATCGTAAATGGTGGCACAGCTCAAGTTGTCTGATTAAAGGGAAACCGTTCTGAGGCTGTTTGGGCATTAGGGGAGAGTGCCAGGGCTAGGCACCCCCCTAGAGAACCCCATGGATGAAGTGGGGTGTCGAGAGGACCAGTGGAGCGATTATACTCCCACAACCTCCTGGAACCCGCTGCTGCCGTGAGGTGAGTGGAGCAGGGGAGGAAAAGCAGTCGAGATTGCTCATGGCTTCACCACAACCCTACAGTCAAAGCCACAAGTCGTCACCGAAAGCAGCAGATTTTCCAGCAAGGTCTTTGGATCTAAATCTTATTTAAGGAGAAAATTGGAAGCTTTTAAAATAAAAAGTTGATTTGGCGAAAACGGAAACAAAACAGGAAGTAAACTTCCATTTTCTGGCTCACAGGCAATTGCAAAGGGAACAATTTGTGAGAGAAAAAGACTTTTTGCAGCCTTTAGAGGGACTTTATTATATCATTTTATTGGGTACAGAGATTTCCCTTCTGACTGAACTTGACTGGTGAGTTTGAACTTGATCTATTGCTCCTTGTTATTGGCATTTGGAACTTAAACTAGAAGTCGACTGAACAGCTCTGGTAATAAATTATTGCAGCTGGCGGAGGCTGACAATTGGTCATGTCATTCTTTGGATTGCAAAAAACATCCATTTACATGTCTGCTTATTTGGAGGTCCCTGGAACTTCACAATCGAACCTGAAGTTTGGCAGGGAAGCACTCAGCTAATCCTGGGGATTTACTCCTGGAAAGGTGAGCTCCCGTAGTTCAGTCCCTGTTCCTGCCAACCTAGCAGTTCAAAAGCACGTCAGAGTGCAAGTAGATAAATAGGTACTGCTCCGGTGGGAAGGTAAACGACGTTTCCATGTGCTGCTCTGGTTTGCCAGAAGCGGCTTAGTCATGCTGGCCACATGACCCAGAAGCTGTCTGTGGACAAACGCCGGCTCCCTTGGCCTATTGAGTAAGATGAGAGTGCAACCCCAGAGTCGTCTGCAACTGGATCTAACGGTCAGGGGTACCTTTACCTTTAATCTTCATGAAACAAAGAATTCCCATCCTGAATGATAAATGGTCCAAATTTTCCCCAGAAAACTTGGGGGGGAGGGCCAACTAGAGACTTAGACATTTGCATGTCCCGTTCTTGAGCTAACTGCTTGTTCTGCTCCTCAAAAGCTCCTGCTAGATGATCAAGCTGTGATTTAAGTTCCAAATATTGTTACCATAGTACGTGATAGGGGTCAGCTTCAGTGCCCGTCACCCCTCCCCCCCTCAGCGCGCCTCCAGCTGCTCCTTGCTCTTCTGACATCCCAACTCTTTCCTGGCCATCTGATGTGAAGAGTGGAGATGCTTCAAGTGGCAGGCTACTGGCATAGATAAACAGCACATAGTGGTGGTAGTTACAAGAAGATTTATTGTATACAGTCATTAGCCTCAGAGCCGCACACACTAGCAACTATCCATCGCAATTCAATTGAAGCATCTGAGCCATCATTGCATCTCCGGGAGGAAGCAGAAAGTGTCCACCCCTCCTCCTTTTTGATTGACGCCTCTCTTTGACCTTTGTTCTTCTCCAAACCCTTTTAAATTTCAGGGTCAGCTCCCACCCCTTCTTCTGCTGAAGATTCTCCCCTCCCCTGAGAGGTGACTAATGGCCGCTCGCCAGAGGGTTGGCTTGCATCCAGCCCGCTCTCAATGTATTGATAAGGTACATTCCCTCCTCCTTCTGAAAAGGGGGACTCTAACCCACTGCTTTTGGCTGGCTGAGAGAAAGGCACATCTCTCTCTTCCCCTTCTGACTGACTGCCTTCCCCCCTGCTCAGACTGCTCCTCTGGACTGTGGGAAGCTATGTCCATGACACTGGCCCTGAGTAAGTCCCCTAATTACGTTGACCACCAGCACTGGGCCTGCTAGGAAAACAGGCCTTGCTCAGTTGTCCTTTTGCAAATGCCAGTGTCATCTTGAAATAATGTCTCATTGGAGCAGTTATTGTTCTTTCCAGAAAGAAGAGAAGAGAAAGAATATAATTAGGCTTGGTTGGCAGCACAAAACTGCACAAATAAATATGTATCATGCGACCAAGTAACCAGGAGGGGCACATTCTCCTGTAATTATGCAAATAAATCCACAGGGTGCTCTCTGGGATCAACCGCCTTGTACATTTGTATTAATCAGAGGCAATGTAACTGACAAGGGAATCTATTGCACTGCTTTCCTGGCAAGAGGCAAATCTAATGGCAGAGGAGTCTGCACCACAGTCTGCTGCAGAAGGCAGAGGGCTGCCTGCCTTATCTCAACAAGTCCTTTAGGTATCTGGGGGAGGCCACCAAACCCGCTGCAGCTCTGAATAAATAACACTTTCTCCACTTCAAAGTTCACCAGTTCAACCCTCCACAATGCACACATACAAATGTTGATTGTCCCCTGGAATTTGCACTGTTTTTCATATCCTCCTTCTCTGTATAGGATGCTGGGGCATCTGTTTAATGCAAAGATGTTTGCATATCCTCAGATGAACTTTTCTGACACTTCAGCAAGAACAGCTGGATTTGGGGGCAAATAACACAGCCCTGGATTTTGTATTCAAGGCCCCGAGCTGCCTGATTTGTCCCCGGGTTGAAGCCTCTACTTTATCAAGCAGCAGATGAAAAAAGGCAGTTGGTTTCTGGTGTTTCTCTGATATATTTCCCCTTCTTTCTTTCTTTTTTTTAAGAACAAAACAAAAAAAAAATTCTAACCATTTAAGAAAGATGAGAAATGTTTTGTTTGGAATGGTGCAAGATCTGTTTTTACCATAAGAACAGTGGTATTCAATCTTACCCATAATCTGTCTTGCCCAGTGAACAGATTGGGTGCCAGGATCATATCAGTGACTGTAACAGTCAGTTCTGAGAATTTCACGTCACACTGGAGTGGGACCAAGACACATTGTTTGAGGGACCAGCTTGTGGGGGAAAGAAGGCAATCCTCCAGGGCGCTAATACCTCCCCCTAAGCCCTCTACCCCCCCACCTCCTACCCAATGAGGCCCTTATTGCCATAGTGGGTGAATAAGACTGACTTCACATCAGGTCTTTCCATTTCTTTGCCAGAAAAAGCAGCTTGTGAGGGCTTGTGAGGGGCAGGGAGCAGCTCTGATGGTGAGTAGGCTGCAGGCAGAATTTGAAACTTGATAGCTGAGAATGGGGTTTGGGAAGAGTACGAGAGACCTTCTCTTTACTGAATCTGGTAGCTCAGACATCTCCAGCATAGGTGCCCTTTATGTGTTTTTGGACTCCAACTCCTATCAGTCTCAGCCAGCATAACAAATAGTCAGTAATGATGGGAGCTGCAGCCCACCAAGAACACAGGATTGGGGAACACGGTGATTAGCTTTTGGCTGTGTTGGAGGATTCAGGACAAATGAAAGAAAGTGCTTCTTAATACCATGCATAGTATGAGGCAATGATGGCCACCAACCTGGGTAGCTTTAAAAAAGGATTAGACAAATTCATGGAGGTAATGGCTGCCAGTCCATTTGCTTTGCCTACACAGTTGGAGGTAGTAATGCTTCTGATTACCAGTTGCTGGAAACCACAGTAGGGGAATGTTGTTGCACTTGGGTCCTGCTTCCAGGCTTCTCAAAGGCATCTGGTTTGCCACTGTGATAAAAGGATGCTGCCACTTGATCCAACAAGACTTCTCTTTGGTTCATATACTAGAGAGTTTAAGTTGATTATCACACAGCCTGCTATTCACACAGCCCTCAAGGCTTTCCTGGTACTAGGGACATCTTAACGTTCCTGTCTTCTCATTTCATGAGAAGGAGAGTCATAGGAAGGTGCCTTAACACTATGTCATGCTATCTGTCGAATCACCACAGATTGTCTACTCCAATTGTCAGCAGCTCTTCAATGGTTTCAGAGAGCTTTCCCCATCACCTTGCTACCTGTTCTTTTTTAAAAACAAAAAACCCCGGAAATGCCATGGATTGAATCTGGGTCTTCTTCACTGACACTGGCGTACCCCCCAGCCCCTGCACACACATTTAACCATATGAAAGCCCATAATAAAAAAGTGGGATGTGGGTGGTGCTGTGGGTTATACCACAGAGCCTAGGGCTTGCCAATCAGAAGGTCAGCAGTTCGAATCCCCGTGATGGGGTGAGCTCCCGTCGCTTGGTCCCTGCTCCTGCCAACCTAGCAGTCTGAAAGCACGAAATGCAAGTAAGTAAATAGGTACCGCTCCAGTGGGAAGGTAAACGGCATTTCCGTGTGCTGCCCTGGTTTGCCACATGACTTGGAAGCTGTACGCTGGCTCCCTCGGCCAATAAAGCAAGATGAGCGTGCAACCCCAGAATCGTCCGCGACTGGACCTAATGGTCAGGGGTCCCTTTACCTTTACCTTTAAGCCCATAATGTGGAGCCTCATTCCCACTTGCCTGCTCAGCACCCTTGTCAAAATCTATGTTTTCTCATGCCACGCATCCCTCCAGATGTTTGTGACAAGGGTACCATAGGCATCCTGTGCCAGACATGGGGAACCATTGCAGATTAGCATGGGGAACCATTAGCAGTGGGGAGAAAATGGGAAGATGGGAGTGTGGATTTAAAAAGACTCATTTATCAGCTGACTGATAAATATGTGCGTACATTAGAATCACAGAACTGTAGAGTCAGAGTGGGCACCAATGGTCATCTAGTCTAGGCCCCAGCAAATGCAGGAAATCCACTGCTACAGCATCGAGGAAGGGCTGTAGCTCAGTGGTAAAACACCTGCTTTGCATGCAGAAGGCCACAGGTTTAATCCCCAACACCTCCAGGCAGAATTGGGAGAGACTCCCTGTCTGAACACCTAGAGCAGCATTTCCCAACCTTGGGCCTCCAGCTGTTTTTGGACTACAACTCCCATAATCTTCAGCTAGCAAGACCAGTGGTCAGGGATGATGGGAATTGTAGTTCGAAAATAGCTGGAGGCCCAAGGTTGGGAAACACTGACCTAGAGAACTACTGCCAGTCACTATCCTGAATGTGTACTCTTACTGGCAGACAATGAAGAACAGGGGTGGGGAACCTCAACCCCAGGGGGCAAATGTGGTTCTTGTAGCCTCTCTGTCTGTCCCTTGAGGCTCTTCACATGCTACAGGTCCTCACTAGCCACTCTTCTCCCCAGCCCATGGTCCTTGGTGCTCCTGCTTTGCATCCACCTTGAGTGCTTTCTCCTGGCTGAAATGAGTCATTTAACTCTGATAATGCCTCTATTTCACCTGGGTGGAGGATGGAAAGGGGTGGGAGAATGTGTGTAGAAACTAATGCAAAGGTAACACTGACATTTGTCGCCCCCCCCCCACTTTCATCTCTGGCCCCACTGGTATGTGGCCTCCCAAAAGTTGCCCCAAAGGAAATGCGGCCCTTGGGATGAAAAATGTCCCATCCTCATCTACTCTAGAGGGAAATAGGGAAGACAGGGTATTGATCAGAGCTTCACTTTTACTGAAGTATCAGCAAATGCTTATCCAAATTCCATTCCAGCCAAAAAGGACCTTAACTGACTGCCAATGCAATTAAACAGAGAAGGGGGGAATAAAAGAATCAAAACTGCTTGTGGTCAGATTTCTAAATGGCTATGGTGTCCCACAACAGAGACTCTTACTTGAGATTAAGGCATATATCTTTATTGAGATAGAGTAGAATTACAAGCTCAGCAACAGGTAGCAAGTCTCAGCAGCCATTATGCTCAGGTTAGTGACTAGAAAGGCAAGACTAGGCAGGCCAGAAGCAGCACTTCCAGCTGATGGAATGCAAGATCAGGGCGAAGAATTCAGAGGTGTATGGAAGCAGTGGCATCCCAATGAGTTAACATGCCCACCTGCCAAGCATTTTGAGACTGTTAAGCATGCAAGTGCTCACTACATCACAGGGGTATGTGACAATTCCCAGTGATAGGAACATCACTGAGTCCTAGACAACCAGTCTGTGACAACCTTCTGACTCTCATTCACCCACTACTAGCAACTGGTTTAATTTTGTTTGATTGTTTGTTTGTTATATTTGTGTCCCACCTTTCCTCCAAGGAGTTCAAGGTGGCACACATAGTTCTCCTCTTCATTTTATCCTTACAACAAACCTGTGAGGTCACCCAGTGAGCTCCATGGTCAACTAAGGATTTGAACCCTGGTCTCCCAGGTCCTAGTCTACCACTCTAACCACTACATCATACTGGTTGATTCCCTCCCCAGATTGTATTCCCATGAATCTCTAGCTGGGGTGGGGTGGGGGTGGATTCCCCAACCAGAGTAGGCACATCCTGGGAGAGGGAAGTAACTACCTCCTCCAGCCTCTGTTCCCTAGTCTCAACCCCCTCCAACACATGTCAGCCTTCTGTTCTCCATCCTTGTCCATCTCACCTTGCCAACGCTTGAGCCTGGCAATACCTCAGGGCTCTTGAAACTGGGCACAAAATTTCACCGAGAGACAAAAGAACGTAGGCTGGGTCTTTAAAAACAAAACAAAACCTCAGCCTTTAGGTGATGTGGGTTGATGGCTTGGATTTCCCATGCTTTTTGTTTGGCTGATTAATAGCCCCAGAAAGTGGCTTTCAAGGTCAGGTAAAGTAGGGAGGGAGGACATCAAAACCTTCTGCAAACACCTACAGTAAATGGCTGCTACAAAGAGAGAGATAGAAAACTTCCTGGTAATATAAACCTGTAGGATGGAGTCCTGCCTTCTGGAAGAGTGGTGATACCCTCCCAGGCTTCCCAGTATCCAAAACAGTTTGCCTCTGAATGCCAGCTGCTGTGAAACACAAATGAGGAAATTGCTGATGCAGCCAGGTCCTGCTTGTCAGTTTGCCATTGAGGCATCTGATTGGACACTGAGAGAACAGGATGCTGGACTAGATGGGCCTTTTGCCTGATCCATTAGAGCTCTTCTTATGAACTTAAGGAGATGATCTGCCCGTTATCCATGCCACAATAATGCCCACACTGCATTACTGCAATGCTCAGGTCCCCAATGAAAATGGACGTTGCAAGAATCAGGTGGTATCCACAGGTGATAGTTGACACCAAGCAAATTAGCCAAAATGTCTAGTTCTAAAGGTGATCTATGCTGGAAGTGCAAAGAAAAAACCAGCACATTTTATCATTCATGGTGGTCTTGTAGAATAATAAAAGAATTTTGGGAGATGCTGTATAATGAACTTAAGAAAATGTTTAGAAGAATGTTTTCCCCAAACCCAGAAGCTTTCCTTCTGGGAATAATAACAACAGAAATCCCACGAAATCAAATTACTCTATGGATGTATGCGACCACAGCTACCAGAATTCTGGTAGCTCAAAAGTGGAGAACAGATGAAGTACTGCCACATGAAGAACGGCACCTTAAATTATTAGAATATATAGAACTTGCCAGCATAACAAATAGATTCAGAAACAAAGACAACAAAAAATTAAAAGAGGGTTGGACATTTTATATAGATTATATGGAAAAACATTATAACAAAAAAATAAGCATGACAGGCTGCCAAAAAATACTCAGCAGTAGAGGTTATATAAGGTAATGAAAAGAACTTAGTTGAGTAAGAAAATGCAGTTGAAAAGATAACAGTTAGGAAACTAAGGAAAGAGTGGAAGGGGAGTCAAAAGTAAGGTTTATAAGAGTCAAACAAATCGGAGGAGTAAGTTATGTTACTACTAATATTCATTTATATATGTCTTATATTTATGTTATTTTTTCTTAAAGGTAAAGGTACCCCTGACCATTAGGTTCAGTCGTGGACGACTCTGAGGTTGTGGCGCTCATCTCGCTCTATAGGCCGAGGGAGCTGACATTTGTCCATAGACAGTTTTTCCAGGTCATGTGGCCAGCATGACTAAGCCGCTTCTGGAGAACCAGAGCGGTGCACAGAAACATTTACCTATTTATCTACTTGCACTTTGATGTGCTTTCGAACTGCTAGGTTGGCAGGAGCAGGGACCGAACAACGGGAGCTCACCCCGTCGTGGGAATTCGAACCGCCAACCTTCTGATCGGCAAGCCCTAGGCTCAGTGGTTTAGACCACAGCACCTCCTGTGTCCCTTATTTTTTCTTATTATCCTGTATATAATACAGTATGCTTTGATGATATGACAAAACAGAAAAGCAAATTAAAAATATATCCAAAAGAGAGAGAGAGAGAGAATAGGATGTTGGAGTAGATGGGATGCTGGTCTGATCCATAAGTGCCTATCTTATGATTTTATAGAATGAATCACTCTACCCCTGCTTCTCTATGGTTGAAGATCTATTTGCTTAGCATTTGTCGCCAAATGCTTCCCCTACCCCACAAGCACACACACGGCTGCATTCAGAGTCAAATGAAAGTGCCTGAGTATTGTTGCCATGACTTGGTCCTTTAGATGTTTTCATTGCTTGCCGCCACAAGATGGCATTGTGGATTTAAGGGAAAATAGCAGAAGCAAGCAAGCAAGGAGGGAAGCAGACAAGGAAAAGCATAAGGAAAGGAAAGGAAAGGTAGAGGTGGTGGAGTTCTTCCCCTTGCATTAATGGCATACAAGAGTTGGTTACTTCAAACAACCTATCATACTTCAGTCATCATACATCCTTTTTGAGAACTGGTGGGTGGGAGGGGTGAAAATAGTTGTGTGAATATCCCAATGCATGTCCCAATGCATGTTCCAGCTGTTTATTATGGTCCTGTCAGTGGCAGCAGCAATGCTCCTGGCTGCCAATTTCCTTTAACCTACAAAGCTGCAGAATAAATACAAAACGTGCCTCCACCAAGACCTGGCTTCAGTTGTCATTCCATGACATCATTATGAAGCCAAATCAGAGTGAAGGCAATTCTTGACCCCACATTCTGGAGCCTTGTGGGTTGCAAAAGAAGAAAAGAAGTCCAGCAACAACTAGCAAGTTTGCTCTGCACTTTGCTTATGTTAGAGCTCCCCCTAAAACAACTGACCCCAGCCAATAAAACTTGATCACTGTGTTCACAGGCTGTCAGTAGAGCCTGTCAGTCATGAGAAACTGGGATCCCTGGAGAATGCATGCTCCGAACCAGATTCTCCAGCAGAACCAGCCCCTTTCAAACCTAGAGCCTCACAATCCCTGAAGCCTGCTTGATGCACAGGCATTACCATGAGTGCCAAATTGTGGGTTCCCAGAGCCATGCGTGCCATGCAGCATGTATTGCCAGGCACTGAAACTGGAGCCACTTGGAGCACTTTAGATATGTGGCTCCTGCTATGTGGGTTTGAAATGTTTCAGCACCATTTCCACTATGCAGAGACAGGGGACCTTTTAGGATGGTCTGCCCTTGGAGGTTGATGAATCCGAGAGGTTTCCAAACAGCTCTGGGGTTTAATCCAGCCGATATAGCTGGTCAAAGCCCTGGACGATCTGTGGAACATCCAATGGTTCAGGCTGCAGGCACAATTACCCCTGAGCACCCTTACCCATTTCATAGAGCCCGTATATTCCCAAGCTTAGGGTAAAGAAGCAAGCTAGGAGAAAGCTTGAATGCATGTCAGGAAAACTCCAGATGAATGCAACCGAACCATGGTAGTGTGTATTTTCAAGCTTACTCAGTGGCAGTGAAGACAGCAAAGAAGGCATACTTTGCTACCACCTCACTATGCCACCCAGCAGAGCTTTTCCAGGTAGCGTGGGGCCTTTTGCAGAGTGGCCCCCCCAAAAGTAGTGGAACCAATGGTCGCTCACTGTGATTTGTTTGCCAAGCATTTTGAGGATGAAATCACTTGCATTCATTAAGACATTGATTCTGCTGTTATAGCAGATCGTTCTCATGGGGTGCCCAGAGCACTGTCTAGTCCTGTTTTATTGGATGAGTTTCAGTTGATGCAGCTCAAGGATGTGGACAAGGCACTTGGATTGATTTGGGTTACTACCTGTAATCTGGACCCTTGCCCCTCTTGGCTGATAAAATCCAGCAGAGGGGAGACAGCTGTCTGGGCCAGAGACATGGCCAATGCATCTTTACAAGAGGGGGTTGGTCTCTGCCTGTTCAAAGGAGGCAGTGACAAAACCATTCTATAGATTCTGAGAACTTAGGTAACCACAGGTCAGTTGCCAACACACACACACACACACACACACACACACACAAATACATGATTTTTAATTGAGATTTTCCCATAATACAGTAAAATTGCAGCTACAAAACAAAGGTGAAAAACGGAAGAATATAATAAAGGGACAATAGAAAAAGAGAGGAAAGAAATAGAAAGATAAAATAAAGAAAGGAAAGGAAAGGAAACATTAGCAAAAAATACCAAAGAGGAACTTCAAATTTTCCATCTTCACAGAAAAGAAGAAAATATGATTAGTTAAAACTTTCGGTCCATGGGAACATCCAACTTCACTTTCTGTAAAACAATATTTCTTTTAATTTAAAGTGTCTCAGAATCATTCATTTCCTTTTCCTACATAAAGTCCAAGGTAAGTTCCCTAATTGTTATTTATTAACCATTTTTTCCCCTTTTAATTTTACCTCTATTAATTCCCAAAACCATTATGCAATATATAATAATACTAAATTCTTCCATCCATGTCCATATTAAAGTCTCCCTAGTATTCCATTTTTTTCTCATTATATAGCTGCTCATTCATGTCCAGTTTCATATATTCAGTTCCATGACCTGCTGTATTCCATTTCCTGTTGTGCTTACAATAGTATCCTGATCTCCTCCTCCACGACATTCCATTTTCATTTCCCCCCCAGTCTTTCTCCAGAGGTAATACCATAACTTTAATAGCAACATTCTCTGAATTTGCTCCAGATAAAGAAAACGATACTAGTATTCCTATCATCCATTTAAATCTTTCTTGTCCAAGCTTTCCACCTTGCTCTAGCTACTTTTAACAATTTTTTTCAGCAACAGAAGGTGGTACTCAGATTTTTCCCAGCAGATGGAGGAGGGGTCTCTTCCTTGTCCCAAATATGTTTTAAAGGTTTTTTTTTTTAAAAAAAAAAAGGAAAAAAAGAGGGTGTAATTCTTATTACCTGTTTTCAGGTGACTGCATGGCGTTTAAGTACCATATCATTCTCCTTGGCTTGCCAGTTTGTTATAATTCCTGTCCAAACCGCAAAGCATAGACAGCAGAAATATGGCTTTGATCTAAGCATCTTGAGGTATCTCCAGAGTGATTAATAGATCCAGACTATCTGTCTGGCTATTATCAGTCACCATGTAATTATCTTCAGTCAGCTGAAGCTACCAGTATGATCTCTGAACTGCCATGCATCTCTCCCGGAAGTTCCCACCAACTTCCCTTTTTTGAGCAAGGTTCTTGAGGAGGTGGTTGCTGACCTACATCCATTTCAACTGGGGTTTGGGCCTGGCTTTGGCACATAAACTGGTCCTAGTCACTTTATGTGATGACCTCTGTTGGGAAAGAGACAGGGTAATGTGTCCCTGTTAATTCTCCTTGCCTCCTCAGTGGTTTTCAGTACCATTGACCACTTTATTCTCTTGGAGAGGCTATCCAAGTTGGGGATGGGCGGCACTGCTTTGCAGTGGTTCAGGTCCTACTCGGATGGTCATCTTCAGTGGCTGATGGTTGAGGAGGGTTGTTGTTGTGTGTGTTTTTTCCACCATGGGGCTTTCAATGTGGGGTCCCTCAGTGTTCAATTCTATCCCCTGTGTTGCTTAATATCTGTATGAAGCCATTGAGTAGAGACACCAAGAGTTTTGGAATATGCTGTCAGCAGTACGATGATGACACACAGTTCTATTTCCCCTTAATATCTACAGGTGTGACAGTGGATGTGTTGGACTGGTGTCTTGCCTTGGTAATGGACTGGATGAGAGCCAATAAACTGTAGCTCAGTTCAGATAAGATAGAGGCATTGTTAGTGGGTGGTTCCCTAAACTGGATGCAGAGGCGTAGTGGGGGGGGGCATGGGGACTGTGGCCCTGGGCGCAATTTTGTAAGTGGACACAAACAGGTGCCCCCACAGCAGGCTCCTTCATTGGAGCCCGGCTCTGTGCAAGAAGGAACTGTGTCTTGGTTGCAGCACTTGTGCTTAGTACAGCTCTACCCCAGGTCAGGTGGCAGTTTCTCCGCCCCTTTCCTACCCCGAACTGTGGCATGCGCAGGGTGCCCCTGCCCCCCTTGGGGGTGTGACCCTGCCCCTGCCCCGGGGCAGCATGGGCATACGCTATGCCACTGACTGGATGCATGGGAGACTGCCAGTTCTTGCAGAAGTTACACTCCCTCTTAAGGAGCAGATACATAGTGTGGCTTATGGGTGCTCCCAAATCCTTTACTGTTGCTTTAGCCCAGGTAGCCTCATTGGCATGGAGTGCTTTATGTCAGCTTCAGCTGGTATCCAAGCTGCACCCTATCTGGACAGGGATAGCCTAAGTTCTGTAGTCTATGCTCTGGTAACCTCTTGGGTGGATTACTGCTATGCGTTGTACATGCTGGTGCAAAATTCAATGGCCAGATTGCTCACTGGAACAAGATGGTTTGAGCATATAACACCAATCCTGTCACAACAATACTGGCAGCCGATTAATTTCTGGGTTCAATTCAAAGTGCTGGTGTTGACATATAAAGCCTTACATAGCTCAGGTAACCTCAATACCTTAAGGGCCGCCTCTGCCCATATGAAGCAACCCAGACCCTGTGCTTATCACCCAATGCCATCTTCTACGTCCCCCTACCATAGAGTTTTGGAGGGGGACAACATGAGACGAAGTCTTTTCTGTGGTGGCTCCCTGTCTGTGGAATGCTCTCCCCAGAGAGGCTTACCTGGCACCATCATTACATGTCTTTAGGTGCCAGGCAAAACTATTCCTCTTTACCCAGGCCTTTGGCCATTAAATAATCTATGGCCTGGTAAATGTGGGAAGGCAAACTGTTATTATGATTACTTTATTATTATATTGTGTATTATGTCTTTATTATTATGCTTCATAAATTGTATCCTTAATGTTGTATACTCCTCTGGGCTCTTTGGATAAAGGGTGGTATATAAATTTAAACAAACAAACAAACGTGGCTGCAATACTTCTTAGGAGCAGTGAGATGTGGTGCTGTCACTCTCAGAGAGATTGCAGGCAGGGTTGCGTGGGGATGACTACCTTTTATGAGCAATTTCTAAGTGTACACAAAGTCACTGGGAATGTGTAAACATATTCTTGACTGGGGCCAGTTATAGGGAGCATATGACTCCCTTGCTACAACAGCACCACTGGCCTGGTCTGTTTCCAGACACATTTCAAAGTGCTGGTTACAACCTACAAAACCCTAAGGTATAAGCTACAGTAGTACCTTGGTTCTCAAATGCCTTGGCACTCAAACGCCATGGTTCCCGAACACCGAAAACCCAAAAGTAAGTGTTCCAGTTTTTGAACATTTTTTGGAAGCTGAACATTCAATGCAGTTGTCGGCTATTGTTTCCGGGGCGCCTGCACCAATTAGAAGCTGTGCCTTGGTTTTCGAACATTTCGAAAGCCAACCGACTTCCAGAACGGATTAAGCTTGGCACTTTTGTATTTGCTATTTATTTTGCGTTTTTGTTTTTGAGGCTTTTTCAGTTAATTTGTTTTTGTGACTGTGTGGAACCCAGTTCAGCTCCTGACTGATTGATTGTGTGACTGTGGAAATGGATAAAAGCCCCCCATCCAAACAATGACTATCATCAGTGCTGGTAAGAAAAAAATCATAATAATTTTTATCATCTACAGTACTGTCTTATTTATTTTATTTTCAGGTAGGTAGCCCTGTTGGTCTGACACAGTCGAAATAAATTTAAAAAAATAAACATTGTCCAGCACCTTAGAGACCAACTAAGTTTGCTCTGGGTATGAGCTTTCATGTGCATGCACACTTCTTCAGGTACCTGAAGTGTACAGATACAGAAGTGTATCTGAAGAAGTGTGCATGCACACGAAGGCTTAGGTACTACTGGACAATTATTTATTTAATAGTACAGTATATTGATTATTGCTTTCATTTTATGGATAAATGATCTTGTTAGATAGTAAAATTCATGTTAAATTGCTGTTTTAGGGGTTGTTTTTAAAAGTCTGGAATGGATTAATATGTTTTGCATTACTTTCTATGGGAAGTGTGCCTTGGTTTTGGAATGCTTTGGTTTTGGAACAGAATTCCGGAACGGATTAAATTTGAGAACCAAGGTACTAAAGTATCTGAAAGACAGTATTCCCTCATATGAACCTGCCTGGGTTTTGAGATCTTCAGGTGAGGCTCTTCTCTTGGTCTTGCCACCCTCACATGCATACTGGGTGGGGATGTGGGAGAAGGCCTTCTCTGTGACTGCTGGCAGACTCCAGAACCCCCTCCTTGGAGAAGCCAGACTGGCTCCCTCCTTGTTGTCCTTCTACTGGCAGGTGACAAATTCTTTGTTCCAACAGGCTTTTTGGAACTGACTGCTTTTAATGAAAGAGCTGGATGCTGTTCTACTTTTATGGTAATTATTTGTATGTTTTTAATAGATTTATATATGTAAAGGTAAAGGGACCCCTGACCATTAGGTCCAGTCGTGGCCGACTCTGGGGTTGCGGCGCTCATCTCACTTTATTGGCCGAGGGAGCCAGCGTACAGCTTCCGGGTCATGTGGCCAGCATGACTAAGCCGCTTCTGGCGAACCAGAGCAGCGCGCGGAAACACCGTTTACCTTCCTGCCGGAGTGGTACCTATTTATCTACTTGCACTTTGACATGCTTTTGAACTGCTAGGTTGGCAGAAGCTGGGACTGAGCAACGGGAGCTCACCCCGTCGCGGGGATTCGAACAGCCGACCTTCTGATAGGCAAGTCCTAGACTTTGTGGTTTAACCTACAGTGCCACACGTGTGCCATATATGTATATAGGTTTAATTCTATCAATTGTTCAATTGTTTTGTAGTGATTTTTTTTTCTACACTTTTAGCTGTTCTTATTTTTATCTGTAAGCTGCCTTGAGTCACTGGCAGAGGAAGGCAGGTGTGGGGGGTGCGGTGCGCACCAGGTGTCAGCCGTGAGGGCGGGTGACATTGACGCACCACCCCCACCCCTGCTTGCTGCATGGGCAGCACTCCTGGACACTCGCCACGCAGGCAGTGGGCCACTAGGGATGATACTGCCACAGGCGGCTAGCGGCACCACCGACGCTCGTCGTGCGGGCGGCTAGCGGCACTCCTCCCGACACTCGCCGTGCAAGCGGCAGGCGGCTAGGGAAGCTCACCATGCGGAAGGCAAGCGGTGCCCCCCCATGCTCGCCACATGGGAAGCGGGGAGCTAAGGACACTTGCTGTGCTGCCAGCTAGCCCCCCCCCCAGGCCGGCTAGCCCCACCCCTGCACCGCTCCGGGTGCCAGGGCAGGTAGCTCTGCCCCTGCCTTGAGTTCCAGCAGGGAAAAAAGTGGTACATAAATAAACATAACTATAAAAAAACAGCAACAATAACAACATATTGGTTGCATCCAAGTAAGTCATATTCAGAGTAGACCCATTGAAAGCAATGGCTCAATTTAGTCATATCCATTGATTTAAATAGGTCTACCCTGAATATGATATAGTTGGGTACAACCCTTATGTTTATGTGTCCTATTGACTTTGTCTATTGCTTTATTTCTTAAGATCAGTACTTTTTTCATGGGGTACTCAAGTATATGCAGTACTGGCATCCGGGTTTTTTTTGGGGGGGGTGTTAAAAAGCATGACACTTACTGTAACAACTTCATGGTGAGTACCGGCATCTATTTTTCTAGAAAAAAAGCACTGCTTATGATGATGTTGTTGTTGTTTAGTCGTGTCTGACTCTTCGTGACCCCATGGACCAGAGCACGCCATACCTGAAGCCAACTCTGAGTGAAGGCAGTCAGTTGGAGTCAGTTTTCTAATAGGTCATCAATGTAATTAGTAGAAATAACAACATGCTATTAACAACAACAATAATAATTGTCCTTAATTGGCATGTGAATGATAAACAGAAATAAAAACAGTTTAAAAAAATTACAGTTACAGGAGCAGGGTGGGTCTTGAAAACAATTTGGGGGTTGACACAGAGAAGTCTTTCTTCTGGGCCACCACTCCCTCCTTGAACATCTGAAGCTGGTGGAATCACCAAGAGGATCACCCCTGGAAGGGTCTACAGCAGCCTTTCTCAAACTTGTGTCCCCATATGTTATTGAAGTCTCTTAGACATTTGTGGCCTAAGTTACACAGAGTTTAAAGCACTAGTTTGAACATCTTGAATTGGGCCTGGATCTGAAGTGACAGCTAATGCAGCTGTTTCAGAACCAAGATTATAAGAGTTTTAAAGGCAACCCCAACCTGCATTTCGGACCAGTTCAGATTTCCCAGTCTTCTTCATGAGCAGTCCCACATAGAGTGCATTGCAGTAATCCAATTTGGAAGTTACTAGAGCACGGAGTACCACGGCCAAGTAATGTCTGTCCAAAAGAGGCTATGGCAATAGTACATAAAAACATATGTGAAACAGACTCATATTACACCATATGCAGGAAACCACTCACAATATAGCCAAGAAAAAACTACAACCCATTAAACAGAAAGAAAATACAAATTTTCTTGTGAAGCTGAATGTAGGAGGAATGCACTGTAGTAGAGTTGTTGAAAAGATCTCCGGATTATATCTCATTTCATTACTTCATCAAAGTAATATAGAGGGGAGTGATTTCTCGTGATTGACAATTGAAAACAACCCTCTGCCTTCTTATGTGTCCTTTCCAAAACACAGATTTTCTTTATCTACCTATCAAACACCCAATTAAATCAAATAATAGGCTTAATCTGGCAATATAAATTAAATTGCCACTCTTAATTAATTACTTGATTCTGAATCATCTAAAGTAGCTTAACCAGAAGAATTTCCCCACATGGGGTTTATTGTTCCCCAAAAGGCTCACTCAGCTCAGTGGGTTTGGATGACTCTCGGGTCCCTTCCAGCTCTAGAATTCTGTGATTCTATGAGACCATTGATCCTTCTAGCTCAGTACTGTCTACACTGACAGGCTAATATTCTGTCTGTTATAGCCATGTTGCCTAAACTTACTCTCACTTGGCTAGGAATCTAGGGTTGTCTCCAACTATATTTTACTCAGAGCAGATCCATTTAAATTAATGGACCAACCTTAGTCATGTTCATCGATTTCAGTGGGTCTAATCTGGGTAGGATTAGCATTGGATACAGCCTGCAAACTTGTAATAGTTTGTCTTTGCTATGCTATTGATATAATGGTTTTAAAGCAGTGACAGAAGATATCACTAATTATTTGTAGTGCTTTTTTTAAAAAAAAGTTATTCTGAACTATCCATTTCCTTCCAATTCAGAGGTATAAATTACAACTGTAACACAATTCTTGTTTCACTGTACAGTTATCCTTCGGTTGTTGAACGGAATCAATTCTGGAAGTCCATTCGACTTCCAAAAATGTTCGGAAACCAAGGCACGGCTTCCGATTGGCTGCAGGGGCTTCCTGCACTCAATCGGAAGCCTTGGAAGCCACATCGGATGTTTGGGTTCCAAAGAAATGGAACCCAAACTGGAAGACTCACTTTTGGTTTTGCAGCGTTTGGAAGCCAACATGTTCGACTCGCAAGGCATTTGGGGTCTAAGGTACGATTGGGCTGACATTTAGTTATACTCAGAGAAGACACATTGAAATTATTAACCCAAATTACTCATGTCCATTGATGTCAGTGCCTCTACTCTGAATAGGACTAATATTGGCTCCAACCCATCATGTTTTAACTAGACACTCAGAGTATACTCACTGAAACTAAGTTAGTCCATCATTTTCAATGGTTCTACTTTGAGTAGGACTAGCATTGAGTGATACTCACTATTTTTCCATTTTTCCATAATTCAGCTAAGTTTTACTCATAGTAGACCCTCTGAAATTAATGAGTGTACTCTGAGCAAAACTTAGTTGAATATGACAATTGGAAATAAATGGCCCTAATCAGTTTCAATGGATCTCCCAAACTGAAATAAATGGAAATAATCATTAGTCTATTTCTATGCCATGTTTCCTGAGCATGCCAAATGAACAACAATAAAGATAACAATTCAAAAACAAATCAGAAGTCGGAAGTTCAACATGGAGGAGACCTGCCTAAACTCAACTGGAAGAGAATATTTAAGCACATATCATAGAATCAAAGAATCAAAGAAATTGTAGAGCTGGAAAGGAACCGAAGGGTCTTTTAGTCCATGAAGGAATCTCATCTAAATCTCATGACAGACCTCTGCTTAAAAATCCAACCTCTGCTTAAAAACCTCCAAGGAAGGAGAGTCCACAACCTCCTGAGGGAGACTGTTCCATAGTTGAGCAACTCTTACTGTCAGAAATTTCTTTCTGGTGTTTAGTCAGAATCTCCTTTCTTCTAACTTGAAGCCATGGGCTCGGGTCCTATCCTCCAGAACAGAAGAAAACAAGCATGCTCCATCTTCCATGTAACAACCCTTTAGATATTTGAAGATAGCTATCAGTCTCAGTTTCCTCTTATCCAGGCTAAACATACACAATACCTTCAACCATTCCTCATAAGATTTAGTTTCCAGGCCCTTGGTCATCTTGCTTGACCTCCTCTACACACATTCTAGCCTGTCAACATCCTTCTCTAATTGTGGCACTCAGAACTGGACACAGCATTCCAGGTATGTTCCAGGTGTGTTCTGACCAAGGAAGAATAGAGCGGGACTATTACCGGTACTTCCCTTGATTAGTACACTATACTTCTGTTGATAAAGCCTAGAATAGCATTCTCTTTTTTTGCTGCCGCATCACACTGTTGACTCATGATAAACTTGTATTCTACTAAGACCTCAAGATCCTTTTCAGGTGTCCTCCATCTTATATTGGTGCAGCAGGTTTGTCCTGCATAAGTTCAGTACCATACCTTTGTCCCTGCTGGCATTTATTTTGTTAGTTTTGCACAGTTCTCCAATCTG